CTAGCTGGTCCAAATTATGATTCATGGAAAGCTGACAAGGGGGTGCACGAGGAGTCAAGAACGTGGGTGAATCTGGCATGGCTTTGCTCAGTTCCCCCAATTGGTGTTAGGAGATCTTTGGCCCACTACGGTGAATGATTACTTAGTACATCCCCCGGCTGCATATTCTTCTAGGGTCATCTCGCTAACGGTGTGACCGGATTCGGGCGGGAACTTTAGAACACAAGAGAATCAGGGACATCTTCTGACCAGCTGATCCCGGGTGAGACATGGATAAATACTGAAGAATCATCGCCAATGAAGTCCGACGGCCAGACCCACCGTGGAAAAATGCAAGCCGTTCGGAATAGCGGCTGTTTCCGGCATAAAACATTTCCCCAGGAAGCGGACAACTCAATTTCGGCGCCCCGTTGATCTACGCAGGACCGAGACGAACACTCTGCAAAATAACATGGCGCAGGGGCTACATTCCATATCAGTCCATCTCCTACGCCGCTGTTTAGAATTAAATATTGATCACCGCTTTCTGATAACAAATGACGGAGACGCGCAATACCCCTGGGATGGCGCTGGTTAGTCTGTACTAGCGCTGGCACTAGCAAAGCTTGACCCAACAATGGCGCAGGAGAATCCTGCTGCCTAGCTCGGATTGGTCGCCCTCGGCAGGCGTGAAACAATTTCCCCAGCATGAAGACCTGCCATTCGTGCAGATTCGATCCAATTGCTCTGACGTACGATCACCGGGGAAGGTCACAATGAAGTACAAATGTCCCTGCGTAGCGGATATGGAGGGCTGCGAGCTCGCTTATGATTTACTGTGATGAGACTCCCCCCCGGTGACCTGACCCAGATATGACCCGTCTCTACCATGGTATCGCCGAGCGCCATCAACATGTTATCTTCAGCGGGCCTCTCCAAGACATTTAGTGTACCCATAAAAGTGATACCACTCGTCATTGCCACTGTTCACCAATACTTTTCGGGTTAGTTGGTCCGTCCTACTCAAAAAAATTGTATGCGATTATCCGATTCCAATATGCTTAAGCGATATCTGCGGGCTTTCGGTCTGCTATCGTTTGGCTGTCGCCTTGTCCCACACGTTCCCCCTTTTGACCGGTCGGTTCGGGGAATCAATGACATGCGGGATTTTCCCGCAATATAATGCTGAACCCGCCGTTCCTTTGCTACTGAAACTACGCTGTTGTTTCATCTTTTCACTGTACCCAGTGTATTCTCCCCGGCAGTCCTTTTTGGCAGTCCTCTGCCACACCCCTTGACTGCGGCATAGCATTCTTGTTCGGACCCAATATGCGCCACATTCCTGCATGGTTCGTGGCCTGTCTGGCTGCGGCCACCGCCTCAGCCTCTGCCCCGGCTTGCAGCACCGACAGCAAGTGTCCGGAAGAGTACCCGTGCTGCTACAGTGAGCACACCATGCCTCGTAATTCACACATATCCTGACATATTATCTTCAAGGTGGACAATGTGGTGTAGGAACCTACTGCCTGGGAGGTTGCAACCCTCTTGAATCGTACTCGCTCGACAGCTGCACGCCCGAGCCCATCTGCAAGAACCAGACCTACTCGTTCACAAGCATGGACAATGCAGTCCTGTACGACCACTACCTTGGTAACGCGTCCGAATACGATTGGGTGTACAGCGGCTACCCCAAGATCAAGAATGATAGTCTGTGGTTGACGATGCCCAACGGCACGACGGGCAGTCTGTACTCCCTCAACCATTACATCTGGTATGGGAAGGTGTCGGCCAAGATCAAGAGCAGTCGGACACAAGGTGTCGTGACGGGTTTTATTCTGATGTCGGATGATTTTGATGAGATCGACCTTGAATGGGTTGGATACAATCTGTCGAGCGCGCAGACCAACTTTTACTTCCAGGGTGTAGAAAACTGTATGTTCGCAGCTTGTCTTTCTCGTATTTCAAACTGACCATTCCAGATACCAATGAAGTCAACGCCGCCGTGTCTAACGGCAACACCTTTGACGAATGGCACACCTACACCATCGACTGGAAGCCCGACGTGTTGGAATGGCTCATCGATGGCACCGTGATGCGCACACTGACCAAGAACTCCACCTACAACGCTACCTCAGGTGTCTACCAGTACCCCCAGACGCCGTCTCGGCTGGAGATGTCCATCTGGCCCGGTGGTTCGGAAGCCGAGGGACTGGGTACCATTGAATGGGCTGGTGGTCTGATCGACTGGGATAGCACGGATATTAAGGAGTACGGCTACTTCTACGCGCAGTACAAGGACATCACGATCGAGTGCTACCCTGCCCCGGCTGGAACTATCGACAAGGGTGACACTTCCTACGTGTACACCAGCGACAGCGGTCTGTCAGACACCATTGAACTCTCCGGCAACAGCACCGTTCTCTACAACTTGCAGGATACTGGCCTGAACATGACTGCTGGTACCAAGATGTCGGATTCGGCTACCGCCTCGGGATCCAGCTCCGGAGCCAGTAGCACCGGCGGGAGTAGCAGTGGAGACAGCAGCACGAAGAAGAGTGCCGCTTCTGGGTATGGCGAGCGCGTGATGGAGGGATCGGTCCTCGCGGCAGTCGGTGCCGTGGTTGCGCTGAGTCTGTCCTAGATGGGTGGTACACGGTTTCCAAGTATGAACGTGGCACGCGAGATGCTTGATGTGGTATATATTTCTTCGGATCTATATTTGAAAGGTGTATGACTATAGTGTACTTAATTGTAATATTGAGTGTAAATGTACATATAACGCTCGCACTGAACATATAATTGTCCTACAGCGGATTGAATCAGCCTACGACAAACACTATAAAGATCCTGCTATATCAATCGATAAGGCTACCCTATAATACCACAGACAGACACAGTCACACTCTGCCTCTCCCCACCACCCAGGAAAAGAAAAGTCTACAACTCAGCAGGTACCCCTGTACAAGCAAGACACAAATTCCTCACCAGCCCAATTCCCAGAATAGCACACAGCAACACCCGCCAAGTCGACTCATCGCCGCTCTCCATCCACGCTTCCTCAAGCCCACAAAACCATTCACCCATCCTCATCCCCATCTCCACCCGCATCATCATCACCACCACCACCACAACAACAACGACACCAACCCACACCCCCCTTACCCCTCTCCCTATATCCCCCCTCCTCACCTTCCCAACCCACTCCTCAATAACACGAACAACAACCCCACTCCCCCCAAGCACAACCGGCACTCCACTCCCAGGATGCGTACTGGCACCAACGAAAAACAACCCCTGGATACTCTCATGCTGAATCCTGGGCCTAAAACACAACACATTGAGAAATGAATGCGAAAGACCGAGTATCGCCCCGCGATCCAGATTATATTTGTCTTTCCAGGTTAGTGGGGTTTCGATCCTTTCGCATGCTATGTGTGGTTCGATGTTGTTGCCTGTGAGGTCGTGGATAGTGGAGAGGATCAGGGCGCGGATGGTTTGAGTGGTGGTGTGCCAGTAGGCGGTTGCGTTGTGGGGGTTTAATGGGGATGTTGGTGATGAGGAGGAGGAAGATGTTGTTGGGGAGAGGTGAGGGACGGGGACTAGGACGACGATAGCGTCTGTGTTCGGTGGTGAGGCTGAGGGGTCGATTCTGCTTGGGATGTGTAGGTAGAATGAGGGATGTTCGGGGAGTTGGTGGTTTTTGAATATAGCGTCGAAGGTGGATTTATATTTTGATGAGGGAGGGAGGAATATATTGTGGGATTGGAGGCTCGGAAGAGTGGTGTCTAAACCCCAGTAGAATGAGATGCTGCTGCATGAGGTGGGCTTGTGTTGTAGAGATTCGCTGTAGGTGGTTCTCGGGAGCAGGTTGTTGTATGCGTAGGTTAGGTCCGCGTTGATGATTACGATGTCTGCGGGGAGGAATTTGCCGCTGGAGAGATGCACCCCGGTTATGTGCTTGTGGTCGTCGCTGAGGGCGATGGAGGTTACGGGCGTGTTGAGGATGTATGCGGTGTTGTGGCGGATGCTGATTTTGACGAGGGCGTCGAGGATCTATATTTCATATTTCAGCCTCAGATCATATTTAAGCAATGAGAGGGACGAGGGGATGGAGGTACGGTTCTAAATCCTCCAATGGGATACCATATCCCATCTGTCATCTCCGTATACTGTAGCAGAGAGTACGTCGCCGGAGCATCAAATGGGCTCATGCCCAGGTACATACTGGCGAATGTGAATGCCTGACGGAGTTTATCGGAGTGAAAGTACCGACTCGCACGAGTATATATACTCTCGAAGACGTGGAGTCTGGGTAAAGCGAGGAGAAGGTCCCAGCGGACGAGACTCCAGATGGTTGCGAAGTTACGGTGCAGGATATGTTCACAGGACAAGGTATAATGTCGACCGGATTCAACCAAAAAGCGCAGGAATCTTTCGAATCCATGCGGTCCTTCGTAGGCTTCTATCTGTTCTTTCATCGATGGAATGTCAGTGGATAAGTCAATGTGGTCGTGATCTGGAAACCAGATGCGGTAGTTAGGGTCGCATTTGCGGAGGGTGATGCCCTCATCGGAGAGGGAGGTGTCTAGGTCGTGGAAGATCTGGTGGAAGAACGACGGCATGAGGAGAAGGGAAGGGCCTTGGTCAAAGCGCTACAGATGTGAGTATTGCCTTGGGATATATAGAGGGACGCACGTAGTCATCCTCTTGCATTAGAGAACAGCGTCCCCCGATATCTGCGTTCTTCTCCACCACTGTCACTTTGTAGCCCTTTTTGGCGAGGCGCACTGCGACAGCGACGCCACCAGCACCACCACCTATTTGGTGAGTAGTTAGAAAAGGGGTGCAGAAGATAAATGTGCTTCATACCAACTACTATGGCAGTGGGAGGCTCCATTGAGCCAAGAGCAGGCGCTTTAGGATGTGAAGGTAGTTGTCTGATTCTCTAGCGTTTACAGCTGGGAGTTGATGTCATACAGTAAACTATGTGCGAGATGTCATAAGCTTTATACTCAAGGGATCAGGCATTCACCACGACAGAGCAAGTGGGCGACGAGGCAGACGAACTGGTATCCACGGCTCAGACCGAGCACCAACAGGAAAACGTAAACCCAAAACAACATTTAGACGCCTAGACTGTATGACAACCGAACTTACTTTCGGGTAATCCGGGTATAGCATACAGGAACAAGCTAATTAACTCCCAGCTCTTCCGCCTCCCAATCATACGCTACTTTCAGTCGCTCGCTCATCTCCAGTGGCTGATCCAACCTCTCTGACAAAATCTCGATCACAGCAGGTACATCCACCTCCATGTTATGCTGATCATCCACCGGATCTATCATCAGTACCGCATATGGCTGATCCCGCATGCTTGCAGCCTCATAGAAAGCAAAGTCCGGTCTGGACGTGGGCATAAATTCGATCAACAGCGTATCATCGGCAGCCCAAAAATGATTATGCAGAGCACTTCCATGGGGACCAATCACTGCTTTGACGTTCTGATGAACGTAGCGCATCAGCGCGTCGGTGCTGGGAAAGTCCTCGTGATTGAAGATCTTCAGTTCTTCCCTTTTCCCTCTCTTATTGAGAAGTGATTGGATATTTGCCAGGAGAATATCCTCGTTGAGTACTTCTCTGCCAGCATTGAGGATCAGCCCGTTCGATCGTGTCATGTATAAAATTAATTTCCGGTTTGTCTTTTCCACTGGCTGAAGACTATCAGGACTGAGGAGCGAAAGGGATCTCTGTGTCAGCCACGGATGGATAAGCGGTGCACGACAGCTCCATATAAGCTGCGATGCCACAAAGGTTGTATCGCCATGCAGCACCCGGTCTGCAGGATATCCGAGGTATGACCAAAACTCCTCGACGGATCTGTGTCCCTCGCGCCCAGTAGCTACGTACTGCGTCTGATGATCCCGCGACTGCGCGACTGCGCGCATGCCACGGTCGAGAAAGTGCTGCATTGACCATGAGTCTGGGAAGTTTGCCAGCAGCACGCTGTCATGGGTGGGCTCCTCGCTGCTAGGTACAACATGAGAGGTTGTAGCGAGGCCGGACACGCAGGCTTGCATGATCCACTTGTCGAAGGGTGTAGAGGCAGATAGGGTAACATTTTCAAATACCTGCAATATAAGTATCTGTATCTTATGCAGGGATGTGTACACTCACATATATCTGACCGTGCTTTTCAGGATAACGCACTCGACCTTTCATTTCATAAGCCCGTTCCCACATCATCCACGTCGTGTTCCACCACCGTTCTGCATCGTGAGGGCGGGACGTAGCGAATATTGGAGGGCTTATGGTGTAGGCAGGGTAGATCAGTTCCTCAGCGGATACTACATTCGGTAGTGTCCGAGCCATACATGGTGCATAGTATCCGGGGGTTGAGTCGGTGCATTCTGTCAGTCTGAGGGGACGGAATCGGTCGCTTTTTGTGCGAGATACAGTTATATGCTTTCCCGGGTTCAATCCAGGCGTGGCAACTCGAATGGTGTAGTCTCCGATATGCTTGGTTTTGTAGAAGATGAAGAGGAGCGAAAGAGATAGTAGAAGCGACAAAAGAATGCGCCGCATTGTAGTAGCAGCATCTGTTGAGGATTCCAGTATACCCTCAATATTTTCCAGGTATATTCATTTGAGTTCAGTAGGACGCAACTGGATATCCCGCTTGTTTCTGTTCATAACGGTGTACCTCAGTGAACCGATTCTGTTTGCTGAGCCCCAGCGATGACGCATAGCCGTACTTGGCCACTGCGGATCTAACTGAACACTAGGCCATCGTATTGATCGCTTCACCTTCCATTAACTATTGCGTTCTCCTCATGCACTGCCCCTGTGCTCGATCCTCTGCCGAGCCCTTCCTGTCAGCTTACAGTTTGGCACGCCTGATGTGCGGCTCCCGCTCGGACACGGATTCGGTACCTTGAAGTTGGTTACGAGCCCGTGCTGACAACATCGGTGATAGTTTTGCATTAATATGCAATGTCAGGCACGAGAACCACTTTCAGAGTTATGCCGACCAGGCCGGGAGTATAGTGGGAGGATGGGAGGTGAGTTAAAAAGGGTAATCCAGTTGTGCTGACAAGGCTGTCCAATCACGATCGCCGTCTACAGCTGATGCATCAGAAAGGCTGGCTTGAATTAGTGCAGATCTGCTAAATTAGGTGATGATCTTCATGCTGCGGGTGAATGCCGACTAACGCTAATCCACGTAAGATCTTCTGCTCCCAAATCAAAGCCACCCCTCCTGCCGATATCCTTCAAAGTTGTCCTGAATGATTCAATTCTGGCAAAGAAAGAAAAAATAAACACGTTCTACTATTTCTATAGACCCACTGTGCGGTCACTTGCCAGCACCGCTGACGAGGTTTTCGACTTTATACGACCATACAACCGACTTCCGATCCACAATCTTGGTCATGTAGACTGACGCTAGGATTAATGAGGGGCCAATAGCAACTGCGGCTACAGTCCACGCCAGAAATATGACATACCAGGCGGACTCATCATGCTGCGTCTGCCAGAAATCCGCCCCCCACAGATAGTGGCAGACAGCCTCCAGGATGCGATTGCGCATGACCATAATGAACAAAGGATGAAACAGGTATAGTGAGAAAGAGATTGTGCCGAGGAATTGCACGGGGCGACATTCTAGCGGAACTCGCAGGAATCGATGACGCCTGAGCGTCCCAACAACGAGGATCGCTCCGACAGCGTGCCAGCCCCGGATGCGGATCTCAGGATCCACATAGAACGGCAGCTTTAGGTAGGACAGAAACCAGAAGTCGGGTGGAAAAGTCGGATCTTGCGGAAGGCACAGGAGGTATATTCCGCTCACGAAGAGCAGACCGGTGAAAATGTTCGCACTATTTCTGACAACTGTGGTCGGTTCGATTTTCTGACCAAGACTCCAGGACGCCTCGCGCAGAGTATCGAGCTCCGCAAACAGGAGACCGGCAATGAATGCTGATAATATAGGTGAGCCAAACCACATGAAAGTGGCACTCAGGCAGGCAATTACCACCAGCCGCACTTTAGGCCTGATGGATGCGAGGCCGAGTATGATCAGATAAACAGTCAGTGAGCATTGGTACTCATATGAGATTGTCCACAAGTGGAAATTATACCCCGTCACATAGAACGGTCCACTTAAATGAAGAGTAGTCAGAAAGGTCATGGTAAGACAACTCAGATGAGGTTGTAGCGCTGACCAAGGCTCCGCTCCTGAGCACCCTTCCAGCTCACCCGGAAACCAGTTGAATAGGCCAATATAAAGAGACATATGGCAAATTACACAAAGGATCAGAACGGGAATGTAAAGGCGAAACCCGCGGCGAAAGACGGAAGAGGTAAGTTTTCGATAGAACTGAGCCGGTGCATCATCACGGAGTCGGATTATGGAGGTCGACACAGCATAGCCTGAGATCACAAAGAAGAGAAGGACCATGGACTGTCCAGCAAACAGTAAGCGAAGCGGCGGTAACTGGAAGAGATTCCGATTTTCATCCGCGGGGACAGCCCAAAATGATCGGTAGGGTGTTTTCATCTCTCCCACCGTGAAGTGAAACCAGCCGACGATCGCCGCAGCTATGCCTCTCAGGCCGTCAAGCCAATTTTCCCGAGCTTTGACCGAAGCTGCTGATGCCATAGTGTGTATTGGATGAAAGAGGCAGATGTGCTTGGAGCAAAGGATTAGGTGTGCTGTGTCATTTCCGCCCAGTGAGGGGTTTAAGAAGCCTGGCCTTGGTGCAGCCCAAACAACTTGGACCCGCGTAATAACGAAGGATCGGCCGTGGCACGGCTTTCTTTGAATCAGCAAACAGATCCTGCCTATCAAACAATAAGCGAATATGGTACCTAGCATAGCCAAGAAATATGATCACAAGGTTGGTGACTTTCTTGGTTATAGGACGGGTATGTGAAGATCACGGAGAGGGTCATCCGTTGTCCGAAGGGGAGCCATCAAATACCGACTCCGAATATACTAAGCCCAGGCTACACAGTTCGGGTTGCCCAGCATAATCTGATAGTAGTATAAGCCACTATCGTATCAGTAGGATCTGGATACGAGCGAATTGTGGAATCCCCCGCAGCTTATGTAGATCATAGATCTTTTAGTGTCCTCGGAACATCCTAATGGGCTCTGGTCTAGCTGACCAGAGTGCTCACAATGGCTCTTTCTACGTTTTGCATGGTCTCTTCTGATATAGGTAACGCTTGGAAAGGGGATAGGCAAGACCTGAGAATATCCCAATCCCTACGCCGAATCATGCAATGAACCATATAAGCTGGACATTGAGAGGTGGAGTAAGATGCAAAGACACACCTTCCGCAATTCTATGCTGACTTCCGCGTCATTATTGAGGTAGGTGATGTCCGTACCCAATCACAGTGAATATTGGTTGTTGGTTCACAGGATATCACATTGACTCATGGTTGGCGACCATGAAGCTGGAGGTCAAAATCCGTGCATCCTCGAACAATTTGATACTTGGTATCTTGGCACCCACTGTGTTGGATGGCATTGCGATCCCTTGCTCTTGATGAGACATTCCCTCGCGCTGATGTGACAGTCTATGTGTATGTACTGGTGCACCAAATGTGAGCCTGTCGTTTGCAGCCACCTGAGGACTGCGTAGCTTGTCCCGACGTGGGCTGATGGTTCGCACGGCATGTTTCATCACTTCCATATTCAGGCCTGCGCAACACCATGCTAGGAGCCTCCAAGATGACAGGATATCCGAACGTATTGGCATCAGCACTAGGTGGGCACGCCATGATCCGTCGAAAATGAGGGTGGAGGCTTATGACTGTTCTAGACAATGTGGTTTGCATTGCCACCTGGACCATAATCAGGCACCGACTCAATTCACATATAATGCAACCAAGAGGGTAGGACAGGTTGTCAGATTACCCCTGAGAGAACATTTTTTCTTTGGCGCTTTCCAGTCTCACGGTCTGGCCCGTTTTGTGCTATTCACAGCCTTACAGTTCTTCAATCATGTATTACATACCCAGGCCGTTGAAGCCACACAGTGGCATGGGTTCTGGTCAGCGATTGGTGTCCCTGGCTGAAAGAACTCTCAATTTCCTTGGTTGTATTGTTGCAGCCGCGGTATACTTCTACGGCTTGATGTATCTTAAGCAACCCTTGACCTTTGACATGATAGTCAGTATAATTCTGGCCGAGTACTGTCGATGGAGAAACAACAAGAGACGCAGAGATGCAGCTCTGCAGGAAGAAAACGGTAACCTTGGCCTTGCTGAGAAGGGCAAGTCAAGCGAGCAAAAGTTGGACTGCGTTGCCGCTATTGTTGGGTATAGGGAAGAGCCTACCCTGTGGAAACAGGCATTGGAGAGCTATTTGCAGGCCCAGAATTGCAGATTCCTTCTTGTATGTATCGACGGGGATGCAGAAGAGGATCGGGAGATGGTTGAAGTCTTTCAAGATGTAAGTGATTATCCTCTCTTTGCGTAATGGTTTATTAACATTCCTTTACCAGGTTTACCCGGAAAAGTCTGCATTGATGCACCTAGATATCCCCTTAGCAGAGATTGCCATGCAGATGGATCGAGCAAGATCCTCCAAGACAACCGATGCTGAGATTATTGCTCAATGCTGTTCCGTCGCCAGAGGGGCTCTCGAGAAGAGTGGTATCACTCTGGTCGGCGAGAAGGGGATTTCTAAACTGTGTGTTAGTCAGCCGCACATGCACAAGAAGGGAATCATGTTCACCTCCTTCATAATCTCCTTGGTGCTCTCAGATATCCTCGACATCGAATTCTTGTGGACATCGGATTCAGACTCAATTGTGATGCCCGATACATTAACGCGTACGATGGCAACATGTGCTGCAGATCCGGGAATCGGGGGTGCTAGCACGGCACTCACTATCCACAACAAAGATGAAACAGTTATAACACAGCTTGGAAACGCGGTCTACCTGAATGAATTGTATCTGGCACGTTCATTTACTGGTGCTGTTGCTGCAAATGACTGCCAAAGTGGACCGTCTGCCGCTTTTCGGTTTTCTGCAGTCAGTGGGGAGTTGCTGGCTTGGTACAAGCAAAGTGTGTTCGGGCATTGGATGGTGAGGATATTCCACGCCATGATATGAGCATAGACTAACCGTGTAGGTTGTTAACGAGGATCGACACTTGACCACACGACTCCTTCTCAAAGGTTGGAGAGTGGTTTTCGCATCCGACGTTATGACTGCCACTGAGTCACCCACAACATTCAGGAGGTGGCTGTTACAGCAGGTATGTGTCCCAACAAATGTACCCCGCCCAATGATAAGGCATCATTCTAATATACTCAGGTTCGCTGGGGCCGAGCGGTGCACGTCGAAAGTTTCCACAGACCGAGCGTGTACTTGATGCACTCACCGATATTGTTCTTCGGCGCCCTACGGCGACAATTTGCTGCCTTCGTCGTGCCCCTAACTGTTGTCCTGTACCTCTGTTCTGGAATGCTCCTAATCCGAGCCTTCTCATTCCAGGATTACACCCATCGCCTGGGGCTGACAATCTCCTACCTTGTGCTTCGTAATCCATACCGACCAACTATGAAGGAGTGGATGTGGAGTCTTCCCGCACATCTGTTCTATCATGTGCCGTTGCCTGCCATTCAGGTATGGAGCTTTCTTACAGTCCTCCATGACTCTTGGGGAACGACTATGAGAGCCAACAAAGAGGTGAGGCATTCGATGCTGCGACTCAAGGTTTGGGAGGTCGGATTCTTTGTCTTTTGGATGGCCATCCTGGGCGGTGCCTCGGGGAGGTATGTTGCAACGTCGCTGATGCCAGGTTCGGCTGACGTGGTGGCATTTATCCTTGCGGGTATTGTGCCCGTGTTGATTGTGGGTGGGTGGTGGACTGTTGTCGCGAAGTGAGCCGAGCTGTTGGTTTTGCTGCATGAACGGGGTGGCCATGAAGGCTTCCCTGGGCCGACATACCAGGAGTATAAATATGCTTGAGTATGATGTCCTTGACAAGTAGAAGAGTCAATAAATATTGCGAAAGACAACCTCAAAAGAATGATAGACATGCCATACCAATTCAAGGTTGAAGGTATGATGGCAACGGAGAAGGGAGTTGAAGAAACGCGACGTCAATACATGTCTCCCGGTCACCTGATCAGCCTACTATACAAACAATGGTACCATCGCTTCTCATCAGTATTGTGCCATTCGTTAGACTAGTTATACTAGTAAGTACTAGCTTCACCCACGGTCTGTAACTGAACATGCATTCGCTCATGAAGGATTCTGTAATGATTCTTTGGAGGTATATATTTCGTGATCGACCTAACAATGGCTCAACATAACATCTACTTCCTGTTCGCCAAAAGCTTCTTCTTCGTCCTGTCAGCACACGCCTTAGCATCGAAGATACCATTGACGCTAGGATGCTCCCGAGTAGCCTGCGCCCAACGGTTGAAGTTCTTCGCCTCCGCCAATCCCTCCCAGATTGCGGGATCAATCAGTCCAGCCTCCTTATCCGCGAACGCGTGCAGACGAATTAGGAACGAACCAAGCAGCACCTCCACCAAAGTCAATTTGTCACTACCACCGAAGAAAGGTCCGTGCTCCTTCCCCTCCAATCCCTGGTACAGGAGCGGCTCGATCTCCTTCTTGATAGCAGCTACGTATCCCTCAACTCCGGCCTTGCGGTCGGCTTCGGTAGCACCACGCAGGGCAGCGTTGTAGTGCGGGGCAGCTTTGCTGGAGTAGGTGTCGACGAAGAAGGCGATGCGGGCGCGCTGCAGAGCACCCTCGGGGGTGTTTGAAGGGGGCACGAGGTGGGAGGGGTATGCGTCGGCGAGGAATTGAGCGACGATACCGGATTCGGTGATAACCTCACCATTGTAAGAGAGGGAAGGAACAAGGCCGCGCTTTTATGGAGAACATTGGTTAGCTAATATTGGTGGGAGGTGGATATGAAGGTCGGACATACCGGGTTGACTTCCAGATACCATGGCTCGCGTGGGGTGTCCAAGTCAATGGTGACCTCTTCGAAGGGAAGACCAAGCTCCTGGAGAACAATGTGGGCGCGATGAGCCCAGGGGCAGGTGCGATTGGTGTAGAGAATGATTTTGGGGGAAGACATGATGAATATGTGTCTCGTTTAAGGGAGTTAACAGCTGTCAAGTGGTGAAGACGAGAGGCGGGACCGGCGGGTATAAAAAGGCCGGCAGAAGCGGGGCATCGGCAGATGGAACCGGCGGGGAGGAAAACGCGGGAGGAAGAAAGCTTACACGTCCGACGGGATTATTAATGGCCTGCCCGCCGGGTGATTTCCCGCCTGGATGGCATCACTTCGGGCCTATCAATTATTCACCGAGACCCTATATCGCTACTCACGCAGAAAGACCCAAGAAATTCGTCATCAAAGACGTTATATTGCACAATCGGGGTATAACCTATCTAGCCTATACTTTGAACATTTATATAGATGATAACAAGATGAGTTTGCATGCGGGGTATATAATGTGCTCGTAGCCACGTAATATGTCATGGAAATTTATCGTAATGCAGTGTTGATACTACTAGACAGGGTACGGCTGCGACTCGCGACGAAGTCGACTGGCCCGACGACCAGCATGTCTCTCGCGATCGGCGGCTAGCGTCTGGGCAAACTTGCTGCGACGACGAATTTCGGGGCCCTTCCAGTAGAAGATGTAGATGGGAATGGCCACCAACGCGGCAATGCACCCCAGCAGGGTACTGCCCCAGGCCAGGTGAAACTTGCCGCCAATGTTCTCATACAGAGGAGTCGCATACATGGTCGCAATACCAGCGAGGAAGTCACGAGCAAATCCGTTGCCGCCGGTCGCAGAGGCAGAATAGGCACCGTAGGCAGCGACCATGTAATCAATCGTAGCCATGTAGATGGAGTAGTTGGCGATGGCGATCAGACAGGCGAAGATGAGGGGAGCAATCCAAGGAGCATAGGCAGGGCCGATAGACGTCCATGCAAAACCCAGCAGGCCAATGGGCTCGAGGGGAGCTAGGAACAGGAGTAGAAGAAGACGGCGCTCAGCAAGACGGGCAGCATTGCCTTCCTTCTTGCGGATCTGGCGTTGCCGCCAGACATCCGGCAGGAAAATAAGGTATGCGATGACATAGCCGATGAGAATGGCACAGAAAGCCAGGCCATTGGTGAGGGTGTTGAAGCCCCACTGATCGAAAACAAGCGTGAAGGATTCGGTGAAGGTGAAAATCAGAGCATCGGAGAAACCAGATAGGAGTGACAAACAAAGGACAATGGGCTCGCGAATGAACATCTCAAACGGACGTCTCCAGATCCTCAACACCTCTTTGACACTCAGGCGGCTTTCCTTCAATTCGTTAGGGCCGTAGATGTTGGGATCTTCGCCAGACTTGCGGCGGCGCTTAGCTTCGCGATCCAAGAGGATGGTCGCCCTAGTTTCAGGAACCAACACAAAGTGTAGAGCTTGAGTGAAGCCTCCGACGATCAATTGCACCCAGAATACCCATGGCCACGTGAGGTACTGCCCAATGAATCCACCAAAGACGGGTCCAATCGTAGACCCGCCCACTGAAGAAAGCACGACGTATGCAACCGCGAACCCCTGGTCATCAACTTCCCACATATCTGCAGTCATACCCAGGGTGACGGAACCGCCAGCAGAGCTCAGACCACCCAGGAAACGGCAAACCACAATGGTACCAAAATTAGGTGCCAAGGCGCAAGGGATCTGCCAAATATTGACTAAGAATAAACTGAGCTGCATGATCGGCCAGCGCCCGAATTCTTCACTCCAGGGCGCCCACAACTCACAACCGAAGGCGTATGCAACCAGGAAGATCATCTGCCCGACACGGGCCGCTTGAGCGCTAACGTTGAACTCATTCTCAATGCCCGTGAGAGCATCCGAGTACACGCCCGTGTTGAAGTTCATGGACATTTGAACCATGAAGACCACAGTTAGGATGGTCCATTTCTTGTACCAAGGGAAGCAAAAGCCAAGTTTGTTGTAACAATCGTCCTCAGTTAGCTCCCGCTTGCCGTCAGATCGCTCTTTCTTGGACAGATCGGTATCACTTCCAGATGTTGGCTGCGAGGCATGCTCAGCCTGCTGGGCGAAGGGATCGTCCGATTCCGATCGGCGGGTCAGGTTTCTGAGAGCATCGTCTGTCTTGCCAGACTTCTTCTCGTCATACATACTCTGATCGGCAGGGGCACCGTTCTGCGGCGTGGGCTCAGTGGCCGTCATGATGATGGAGTAGAAGGCGCACCCTAGGACAGTATGAGAACCCTTGTCATGCGGGGTGGAGAAGGTAAAGATAAAGAAAATAGAAAAGACCAATCAGTTTCTCGGGAAGGTGAGAGGGAGAGGAGGTTGATTGGACTGAGAATGATGCTGGAGTGACGATTGATTGCCAGATGGGATGTGAGGGGATCTTTATAGATCGCTGATCTCTTGTGGAAGGTATTTCGCCTGCACCCCGGTACATTATTCTTCCTCCGGGGCACCTGGTACCCTGGAGTGCGGAGCGGATCTCTGCCATCAGTGGCATGACGTGAGGGCTTACCCATGGGAGTCTCATTAGCAAATGGCAAAGGATGGGTATCCCGAAAGGGTAATCCGAGAAGCCGTTCGCTAAAGAAGCCTGATAACGATGGCAGTCGGGGCTCGGCGGAAGAGATCTTCTCCCCTCGCTGGCGTCATAGTTCCGGCCCGTCAGACCGGGAGCTGGGGTTCCCAATCAGAGGCGGGGACTCCTAAATTGTTCAGCTTGGACCATCATGCTAAGTACAAGAGTACTTTGTATCAACCACTTAAAAATCCGTACAATTGGCCACGGCGGCGAGAGACTATGCATCTAAATCGGAGGTGTTGGGGTGGCTGTGATTGTGTGAAAGTACTGATTGCGTGGCGACCACTGGAGTCGGTTTCCTTCGAGGCGGGAAAAGGTCGGATAGACACATACCACACGGCCGAGGTGCAGCCCGATGTGCCAGGTTCAAGGTACAGGACAGGATTTCCCGAATGGCTCAGAAAGTGGCCATGCAGGCGGTTTCTCTGGACTTCGCGACAGGCTGTGGAGTAGACATGCTCCGTTGTAGTACAAGATGCAAAAGCAATGCACGGTCACCTGCTCAGGCTAACCCGATCGGCACGAGTTTTTGTCGGCCGGGGCCGGCGGTGAGCCATGACGTCAGGGCTTCACCTACGAGAAGACCAATGATTTCGCAGTATTTTTTTTTTGACAATCGTCCCAAATAGGTCTAGTCAGGCGGCCAACTGGTTTCTGCCTGCATTCTGCCGCCCTTCTCCGACCAGAACCTACACAGTCCAAAGTAAGTAGTCTGCTACTAACAACAGTAGTCCACCTCCTTCTTCCTTCACCCTCCATTTCCCCAGTCCCTTCTCCGCGCCCCTCCACGGCAACTTGAGAATGTCTTTCCCCTCCACCATGACGCAGGGCTCAGCTCGCGTGTCAACTGACAACGTCACTTTACGCTTTGATATCATTCCCCAACGTCATGGTCCATGTGGTTGCTGCCAGATGCGCTTTCTCTCATGGTGTAGGGGATGACATCGGGTCGGTCCTTGTAATCCGGTGTCTAGCCTCTTGGCTGCAAAGCTAATCCATACACGTACAATCTCTATCGGCTTGGAGAACCACGCAGCTATTCCGTCTCCCTTGTGCCGCCCTGGCCTCGCATCCCGGCCTCCCGATGCAATCCGACGCCACACCTAAAGTCGACCCGAGGAACGACATCGCGTCTAAGGGAAGAAGTATGATACGTCTCAACAAGGTTCACGCACATCATGGTCCGGATAATTTCTATAGCCGCCAATTCTCCCTCTGGTCAGATGGACAATATTCCTCTATCAACGCCTTCGAGACCATAGGTGAGTACATCAATCATCCCACGTAGTCTCATTCGCAGATAAGTCGAGACTCGAGTGGGAGGAACAACATTTCCGTAACCATGTTTCCTTTTGGTGCTCCGCGTTTCTCGCCCCCGCTCCCTCCATCGCACTAAATCGGTGGACCGCAGCGAAGTATTTCATCGGCGATTCTCATTGAGTGAGTTGCGACCCACTGTGCATCATCCCCTTCCCATCCACGCAGACAGCCATCCAAACCGGTTCCGCCTGCAGCGTTGATTATCATATGATATTTAGATCCATTGCGCTATTTGTCGCATTCGAGCCTAGCAACATATGCTGCCCATATGCATGCCGGGCCCTCGGCTTCAGGAAACTCAAAACCCACGCCCTCGTCTCGGCTCTGCGGTAGGATTCACTATCCTATGACTAGGGTGGTGTTGGAACCCGAGCAGCCTACTGGTAGGAATTTGCGCAGCACAAGGCTCGGAGCGATCTGCACCGTCGCAGTCACGCATCCTGCGCGCTTCGTAGTAGCCTCAGCTGGTTTTCAGTATCCTGACACCGTATCTGTTGTGGCGCTTAGGGCACAGTATGCTTCACGGTGAACACAATCGGTTATCAATTCAATTGTAATAGAAATTCTTATTTGCTGAATGGACACAATACACGCAGATCTGGTATAATAGGGTGTACATCCGAGCCTGCCCTGTACAATAACGCCACTTCTTACTCCTAATTGCACAGAGTAACTTCCTCGGTTGGGCCACTAACAGCATGATTCGAACAGGAAGGTCGGGGCAGTAAGACAGTTCCGCTAGCCAACTAAAGATCCTGCTTTGGACGCTAATCCCCACTTGTGTAACCAAGAACTGTCTACCCTACACTACATACCTCAGGATACATGCACCTTGCTTGGTGGCCGGATGGTCTAGTGGTAAGCCATCCTGGATGATACTCCTATAAAAAGTATCTGAGAGAGATTCCTCAACTCCATGCTAGTACAAAGTATAGTAGATTCAATCTCTATAACTGCCTTTAAATACTACAGTAAAAGAAAAGAAACTAGATATATATCCAGTACTAGAAAGAAGAATATATCTAATATATATTAAGAAAGATTATAAAATATAGTTCTTATTTATATCTCCTTTACTGTCTCTATATTGAGTATAATAAGAATTTCTATATAGTTTTACCCATGAGGTTTTTTTATAAATTTTTATCTTAATATATGAAGACAGCTAATCCGGATATAATATAAAAAATAAAATTATAATTTTTATATAAGATCTGTATAATAATATACCGCCTGTATCTGATTAAGATAAAAAATTACTAGTATATATTAAGAAAATATTTAATTTTTTTTAGCTGTTAATAATTCAGTAAGAGTGCCATTAGATACATTATATTTGAGTATAATTTCCATAATGAAATGAATTGAAATGAAATGCACCTTGCTTTCACTGACGCAGATCATGGAAGTACCTGCCGTGCGCCCGATGTCCATTAATCCCAAATTGTGCTAATGCAGCATCAAGCATCGCCCAAGGCAAGCCATAAGATTATAGCGTGTCGCCAAGCCCCATTGGACAGGGGGCCCTGGTCATGGCCGACGTGTCGGACGGAGGCCATCATTGCCGCTTCCGGGATAGTCGGGCGACTCCGACGGTGCTGCCGACCCAGCAACACAGTTCAAAGTCACACAAAGATTGTACTGAAGCCCAAGATGTAGAATCATCTTGGGCAGTCATGTAGACCGCCATAGAAAATACATACAACGCATTCCTGGTGTTGGTGAAGAACACTATGGCTGGTTTGCAGTGAATGTAGAACAGCCACGATTGATCGAGCAGGTCGGGAGAATCCGCTGCTGTAGAATGAAAGGATTTTCACCCCAATCTCGCAAGCCCATAGAAACACATCGAAACTCATACTATCCGTGTGCCTATCGGAATCCCAGCTAGCGTGGACTTCGGTTACATTCCGGGGAATGTAGCGTAGTAGTACCCACATGTCCGGTCTGTCTTATTTTCCGATAACGTGGTGATAATAATTCTCTGGTCCTATCATTTCCTAGTTTTCGTTCTCTATAGCCGTTCCTGGCTAATAACACACGGAAATTATCTCCAATATACTTCGCACGCCATCTTGACATCCAGCCATAACCGGTTTTGTAGCTTGAGTATCTAGGCTTCTAAGTGGTTCCTTGCTCTACAAAACCAACAGCCGGAAAATTGCTGGCAACACCATGAGCCACTGGACTTTTATGTTGCCCCTTAGTGCCATGTTTGTAGCGTACCACGTGCCGTTCCGAGTTCGGACGGAGTAGTATTCTCATCCATGCTTTCGCACTATGTTTACTTCTCTCGGCCTAACTTGCGATCCGGTGGTCTCACTACATCGGCCATGAAAAAGAAGATCAGTAACCCCTTTGGCAGCTGATGACGCTCGGGAAGGTCTATCTCTATTCCGATGATTGTACACGTTTGGTAGCATGGCATTTCCTGGTTTCCAAATATTTCCAAGGATAACTGGCACTCATTGCGCTAAGACTTGAGATTTCTTAACGAGGTAATACTGACTGTTATTCTAACCCCGGTAGTCTAGAAGGGGCAGTACCTGTAGGCGTTGTCAGGCAGTACACCTATTAGTCGTGTACTATGGGATGACTAGCCATCACAGAAGGCAATGCTAGGTATCTTTTGGTATAGAGTTGAGTATAAAATCCCTTTCCGAAAGGAGGTTGGCAATAAATCGGTAGACAGCTTTTTCCTGCTGGTAATAAATACAATGGATAGGATTCTGGTTAAGCTCGCGCGAAGATTACCTCATCCCTTAAAGCTGTTTGTGGTACTCTCCGTCAAGGAAGGGAACAACTGGATCTGAACTATCTAGATCTCAAGGGAATGGGTTGGATGGCTGGAAGGGATTGTGATCAGAGAGCCGAAGGACCAGCTGACCCTGGCCAAAGTGAATGTCTCAGCACTTTGGGTAGGGTTTTGATCGCCTTTCCTTCTTAGCAATGCCTCTAGTCGTGTTATATATCCTCCACCTTGTGAATATATTCCCCATATACCCCGCTATACCAACGTAATAGTAGTCGTTTCAATATCATCCCAGAGCTCTAAGCCTCCCGACGCGCAAGTTCCCCAGAGGAAAATTCCTGCTCTTCGATAGTTGCCAGATGTCTCTGTCGGTAGCACAAGTAAGCCCAACATGCGCCATGAACCAACAAGATGATAATATCTCGGTTCATAGTGTGCGCAAAAATAGCTAGAGATTAGAACCAGGGACAACTGGGCAATTTCCTGTCCTGCTTCAAGGAGAATATCGTCATTAGTTGCATGATCTGTCCAGTCGAAGCGAAGATGGGCAAGGTACTCTCCATCGTCTGATGTAAGTTCATAAGGAAAGTCAACGCCAAGGCTCGCTTTTCGGCGGCGATGCATCTTTGTAGATGAAGGTAACCGAACAAGTTTGGTCCGCAGTGAGATGAAGCCACTGTGCACTTTCCCATATCGATCCCGGCCCGTCGTTGTTCCCATAGATGCGATTTGATATTCAGGTTTGAGGGTGCAAAGTTCAGGCCAACTGACCGGATTGGACTGGGATGCCCAGCTCCACGTGGGGGCCAAATACTCCTTTGGAGGTGTCAGGAAGGACGCTAATGTTGTCAATCCTTTCGGGACCCAGAGAAGGTCAGTCTCAAGCTCGTCACTCCAAATGCCGGCCAAATATTTGCCCTCCGTCTGTGATGAAAATTTCCTAGCCAATGCGGATATTGCTGGTATTGTATCCCGCGAATAAGAGAATTGGCGAGTGGAATATTCTTCAATCATACAGCGCCATCCATCCGGAGATAAGGAACTTTCGCGGTGTTCTCTATCTATGTGGAAATTTTGGCCCCAGGGCTGACACATATCATCGAATGACATATCCTGTGAGCGCCGAAATTGCACGTCAAGCATATGCACCATTCGTGTGCCGAAAAGGAGTAGACGAGGGCTACACAACGCTTCTTGAAGCGTCCAGCCACGAGTGTTCCATTGACTTTCTTTCAGATCGCAGTCGAAGGCGGATTTTTTAAGATATCCAAGACCGAGAAATTTTGACGGATATGGGTATTGAGAAGGGCCTTCAGGCGGAGACTTGTCATACTCTTCATCGTAGTACCCAGTGACGTGGTGTATGTAGTAAAACCCGGATATCGATGGGTTTAAAGTTGACTGAAAAGGGACTTTGATAAGGTGTCGCCGTGGCTGAGTGAGAAATCCGCTTTGGCATGAATTGCCCTGCAAGGCACACAGGGTAAAATACGAGTTCTCGTATATTTCTGCCATCTTAGCTGATTCTCTCTCCCAGTCATCCTGACTGTCCTGTACAATGCATAATGCATCCACCCAGAGATAGCGCACGCGTAATGCCCGGCAAACGAGGACCGCGTCAGAGACTGTTTTAGGCAACGATTCCATTTTAATTTCTTTCATATGTTCACGTAATGACGCTTTAGTTGTCTTGAGCTGCATTGCTGCATATTCCTCACTGCCCCAGCAATAGCTGAGAGCAAGGTATTTGCCTCGGTTTGCCCATTTGTGGGACCCTTGGTTGACCACTAGGCGCATCTTTGAACGAGTCAGCCAACAGCCAACATCTATCACGCGGGTAGGAAGATGTGGGTCTCTGGATAATCTGTATGACTTCTTTGCCAGCTTGCGTAACTGGGCCCGGCCTTTATCAGAGAGAGGATGAAATACAGGCGCTCTCTGAATGCGAAGTCAGCTTCTGCATGGGTCTATTACTGGGTCAGAAGTGTATCATAACAATCCGATACCTAATGAAGTGCCTACCACCTATGTCAGCCTGCAAATCAAAGCTGACTGTATATACGGATTTGTCGTCATCCCGATCCCCTTTGAATTTGAAATGAACGGCAAGATGTGACATTGTAGAAAAGCCCTCATGGGACGGTCTTTGGGGATAAGACTTGTAACAAATGGAAAACTTGTAGATCAACACGCTCTTGTGCTTGGGATCTGCTCTGCGTTCGAATTGGACTATCTTCTCACGCATGGCAAGGCACATGCCACATCCCGATGCAGTAGAGGCCGACATGACAGGAAGATTGGGCAAATTGTCAAAAAGATTATAATCCAGGAGAATGCATTCCTTTGAAGGATCCCAAGCACATTTATCAAAGATAACCACGGGCTTGCCCCATGGGCCTTGTGCCACGCGGCCGTGTTCGTCGTCATTGAACTGGAGGACTGCGCACCTCTGGCAGAGTGAACTAGATATCTTCATTGCCGGAAGTAGCGAAGAAAAGGGTATATGTGTTCACGTTCAATAGCAGCGTTCTCGGGTATCTGTTTGAAACGGAGGGGCAAGGTGACAGCTCACATTCCGCAGCCTGACTAATTAGCTGCATTAACTTAGTAATCACGTTAATTTAACTTGGACTGAATACTACTAGTGGCTAATAGAGACCAATGTCCCAAGGCGTGTTACAGGATGCCAATGAGAATAACATACTAGGGTTATATACCTGGATGCTTTCTGAATCGACATCCCGGTCAAAATCGATCCATCCCTCTCTAATATGTCCCATCTCTTTGTGAGGCTCGTCCCACTTCGCTGCCATGGTGTGAGTATATTCTGTCCTTGATTTTCGAAAGGCCGTCTCTATCGCCTTCCATTGTCTCCATGTGCTCCTTCGCCACCCATCCTGGCGTGTAACCACCACCGAAATCGATCACCCACGCATCCTCGTTCCTGTCTACCAACACATTGTCCGGCTTTACATCTCCCCAGATAATGCCAGCCTCATGCAGCAATTCCACCGTTGTAGTAACTTGCTCCTCCCATTTCCTCCGCTGCGAAATTGTGACTTCATCATGTAGTGCACATGAAAGAGTAAGATTGTCGCAGTCTACCAACGATATCAAAATGCCGATAACATGACGGCAGTCCTGAGCAGCATATACTACGCCGATAAATTGAGGTACACGCACTTGCGCATTATTGCTCAGTCCTTTCGTTTCCATTTTCTTGTAAGTATCCAACTCACGAAGAAGCCCTCGTTTCGTGTAGTTGTCTTTCAAGAAACACAGCTTTCCATCGACACAAACCTTCCTTTGGTAGTTGGAATAACTATCTTCCCCCTCGTTGAGGCACTGCTGTACCATTTCTGGTGTGAAACAACCCCAGCTGGGATGAAGAGCGAAGTTGCCTATGTCAACACCCGGTTCGCACAGCGTCCTTCGAGCATTATAACCGCATCGGGGTTCCATTATCTCATCGATAAAGTGAAGCTGAAAGTAGTATGTTTCCGGATTGAGGTAATCACGAAGCGTGGAAGCTTGTCCATCCAATGGCGGTGCTTCAACTTCAGCAAGAATAGGAAGGAATGGTGGTACTATCCAGTCATAGAATTCATTGTATGTGGTTTCCCAGTCATGGCCAAACATATCGTTGATAAATCGCGCGTACTTGGTGAAAGATAACTCTGAGTTGACGAAGTTCTTAGGGCAAATTTCTACCCGAAAACGCTTGCCTTTGCACCCAATGTCGAGCCGTGCCCACAAGTCGTGTCTGCCGTAGAGGATGTCCTGGACTCTCCAGATGGGACTTGAGGCTGTCATTTTGGGTCCTATATGTTGACCGGAAACTTTTGGTGCAAAGAGTGATTGGTATGTGGGAGTGAAGGCTTAATTGCACGTATATTGTCGAATGGCGACCAAGCGGGTCAATGGGTTCACTTTCGGTGGGTTGTACAACCTAGCGACCACCACCACTTATTGAAACAAGATAGGGTTATTGTAGACTTATTTATAATCCTCCTTCTACACATCCCTTACTCATTAAGGCCAGCGAAGTGCTCAGGGCCACACCGTAGGCTAGCAGTGGCCAGAACACTTGGACATTATAGCTGTAACTATTACGGCAAACATCCTCTCATGATTGGCAGTCACCTTTTTCTGGTCAAAGTCCTGTTTCGCAATATTCCAAAGACGATGCAAGAGGGACGATTAGTCTCCTCACTCAAGCGCTATATAAAAGTTAATCCTGCCTGGCTAATTATAGTACCAACACCAACCCACCCATTATCGAAGATTACTAGCAAAGGTCCAATTTCGGCGTATCCCGTCCACAGCTAATACTATTCGCGAGGAACCAAGCGCAATGTGTTACTCATCCATCCGATTCCACCATTGTGGCCACGTCTGGCAATCCATCACCAACTACTGCCCAAAAGCACGCCCAGTTCAAGGCAGCAGACGATGTAAGCCGTGCTGTGAGCACAGCACGCGCCATTTTACCACCATTGGAGCACTCTGTACTCGAGAAGATTGTTTGACGAAGGACATGTGTGATAGGGGATGGACCTGCTGTAAATGTGTACAGGACAACATCGTGCGTCACTATGTACGCAGTGGCCCACCATCCGCAGTAGGTGAAAGTGTTGGCGGAAGGAATCGCTGCATTCATGTTGTTTTCTTGGAATGCCGATATACATCTACTCCTCCGCAGGATACATACTCGATTCCCACGGATCGTTGAACGCGATGCTGACATGTCGTTGAATCAATACACAGTCTTCTCGTTGAAGTTCGGTATGGGTGGTGGATGGTGTATTGCTCTGATTGAGCGGCGTTGCTAGTCACAAGTCGCTACTCTGCGTCATTCTTGCTAAGATCAGCTACTAGGGTTCAGATTGGATTTAGGGCTCTAGCCGTGAATGGCACTGTTAGGATTCGGCAATCGATGAATAGAAAGAGAAACACCCATCCCTCACACACTTTCATCACTCTCATACGATAGTTCCCTTGGTGTAACGTTAAATATTTCTGCAGTAAGCTTGCTTTGTGTGGCTGGCGGCTTTCCGACTGAATATACCACATCTCTCCCTCACTTTTGATTACGAACAAGGAAAGACGTAGCAGCACAATGGTGGTTGCGAAAATGTCCCCTACAACGCACTAAATCAGTAGTCTAAATGAATATTCTACCAAGAAAGACAATATAGTACAAACAGTATGTACAAATTATATGTATAAACACACCCTACCACACCCTCATCCTCCCTACAGGACCACCGACCAAATTGTTCCTTAAGAAATAACAGTAACATTATCACCCAAGTTCCTGCAGTTCTTGGGCAAAGTAATAACGGCAGCCTCACCCCTAGCTACATCCGAGTGATTATAAGTCGGGTTGAACGCCATGATCTGGCCCACAGTGGAGCCAAACTTGTCGGCTAGATCTTTGTAGGTGCCATAAATAAGTTGATACGGCTCAACCTCACACACACTAGGACTGCACTGAGGGACCTTCAGCTCATTGTTCACCTGCACCGGTGCATCAGGATCACTGACTCCACCCTGAGCAGTTGCGGAGAGGGCGTCGACAGTGATGTTCAGTCTCAGGGCGATAGTTCGGATAGTATCACCCTTCACGGTATAGTAGGTGTGAGGACCACCGGAAACACACTCGGCGTAGTTGTCGATTTTGCTGGGGAAGAGCAGACACGTGGAGTTGTCGGGGGTGCAGGTCTCCGGGGGGATGAGCAGCTGTTCCCCTGTCAAGAAGGGGATCATGGCATCGGCCATGCGGTTGAGTCGCGCGATATCGCAGATTCCGCGGTTTACGGTGTTGGAGACGCTGGCCATGGTGTCGCCTTCTTGGACAGTGTAGAGACCGACGGTGCTGTTTAGGTGGGAGCGGTTGCAGGTCGGCGCTGCCGTGGCTGCCGACGCCAGGAAAGGCAGCGCTGCGAGAGATAGGAAATGCATGGTAGAGGAATTAACGTCAAATGAATGGATTTTCCAAAGAGCGACAAGGAATGTAGTTAAGGGAGTGACTTTTTTGCTGTAGGCTGAGCGGAGTGTAGTTGATAGCATTTATGGGCGAGGGCGGTCTTACTTTATATTCATTTAGGAGATTGCGTCCCTTCCATGGTCGGGTCGTTGGGGGTGATGCGTCCAATGTCGCAACCAGATATTCGATGGAGAAGCGCCGGCGATCGTTCTCATACGCGTAAGCTTAAAAGTATATTGCAGACTCGGAGATAATGGCTTCCCGCGGGGACGGCCCCGCAACGGCGAAGATCTTATCCCATCCGCGTACCTTCATAGTCGCCATCTGGGGCTGGGCCCCGACATTTGCAAATCCCGGTGTTCATACTGGATGAAGATGAAATGAATGACGCGGCTATGGTGTGAAATGAAGTGGATCTGAATAAGTGTGTGATGCTTGTTGAAGAAGCTACGCTAGGGTAGTGGAAACCGATATCTATCAATCCCCGGCAGTCGCGGGCAAGCTACTGAATATTGTGCCTGAAAAGGCAAGAGAGTATAGGAAGCCATTTATGTTGTGGGGCTGCTTTTTGCTCCTTCTGAAATGTTGTGGCCTTCGATTAGATTGATGGTTGTTGTCCCCCTTATCAATCCGGAGACAGCCTACTTCGGAGATAACGCAGGCGTGTAGTTTTCGGGGAGGGTGATTGCGAGCATAGAATTGACATGACATGGTCGCCAACCTTTTCGCGGAAGAACCGAGGATTATATACTCAACGAGTAATACAGAGTCAATTAGAAACATAACGATTAATGACACCCTATAATCATCTTGGCATAAGCCCCGGCATCCGCCCGGCAATGGCCGCCAGGGTCCGCCGGGATGCCGATCGTTTCTGGCCCCGGATATTCATACCGGCAGAATTCTGCATTCGGGGGTACCTTGCGAAGGGCGGGATCGTATCCCCGACCTGCCGGCCCGGGCGCGCACGGCAATTACAACTTCTTAATTAAGTATTGACTGTTCAATAAGAATGTAGTGGGAAAAGAGCAAACTGAATATCCGTTCAATAGTACAATTAGAGTAACGTTGCTCAATTAGTCACTCCGATGTCAATGCTGTCTCGCTGTTGCATTGAGTATCTGAAATATTTAAATATTTCAATGGATACTGCCTAATTTAAATTCATCACTACCTTCTGTGTTTCTGCTATTTTCAATTGATGCTATGTTTCTGCTCACTGCGATCTATATGCTGTGTCGACTAACAAACCCTATTATTTTCGTATACACTCGCACATTGGGAACAACACGAGCATGTAGATGTTGACCCGTCGGAGTTTGTCTGGTTGTGAGGTACCTGCCATAAGCTAGGGATATCGGGCACGGTACCGACTAGAGTCTACTGGAATATCTCGCCAATTCGCCCGACATTTCAGACTGCACTTACTCTACGAAGGTCTCAGCTGCCCCCTCTCCCAGCAGTATTGGGTGTGGCTTTATACTCCAAGGTCTATGTTGTCAATAATTTGGCACAATTATATCCTGAAATTAAATTGGGTGAAGGAGGCAGTCCACTTTTGCGGTTTTGATTGTGAGTTGGGCGGCTCAAATGTCTCGGTTATTTAAGTTGTAACGTGTAACGAGGCATTGATACCAACCACGCTGATTCATTGCTGCAAGTTTTCTAAGGTGTCCAGGACATGAAGAGATACTAACAATGCTATGATCGCTCTGTCGTGGCCCGGTGCGTACTGGTGAATTGACTAGAAGAGAATTGGTCAAAATTGGTTCCATTCCATCTGTTGCGACTCATAAACTAATGGTGCAACACTCAATAGGATTAACTTTGATCGGCTCAGTAGCCTGAAAGCAAATAAGTAAAGTGCAAAAGAGTGACATCAAAATCGAAACCTCGATTTCATCAGCTGATCCCGTAAGCCCAAAATAGCCGGTCATTTAGAAATCCAGGGGTCACGGATGCGATAAAGCTCAATGACCAAAGCTCGACAGCAAGCTCTCCTTGTCAGACGCTCGGGTTGCGACATGTTTGAAATTCCTGCGATTTATAGAGCGCCGCTGTTGCGCTTGGATGCACTGCATTGTCAGTCATATCTCTATGCGTCCTTATTAGCAGTCGCGTGCTCGGAAGAATGGACTTCGAATGCAGGAGGGTAGTCCTGACGCTTCGACGGAGGGACCTCGAAGGCCGGAGGGTAATCCTGACGCTTCGGCGGTTTGACTTCGAATGCAGGAGGGTAATCCTGACGCTTCGAATGCGGCTCAAGTGTAGGGTTATACTCCGGTGCTTCAGCCACGGCTTCCCCACGGTTTACGTTCGTCTATCCACACTGATTAATGCGCAGTTCAATGAGATGGCTCCATGCATAATACTAACGTCATGGGTCAAAGGGATTGCCATTGCCGCTGTGGCCATGGCCAGGATCATGGGAGTGAGTCTCATTATGTGTTGAGTTATCGGAGCTGTCGAGTGTTTCGATATGCAAGCGTTTGGGAATGGGAATGGCCTGGATTGATAGTTGTAATACATACAAAGAGAGTACCATGGCCTTTATATCTACCGCAGCGCTGTAGAACGACACCAACATACGCCGGCCTTCCTGCGCCAATGTAGTTGCCTATACCATCATTCTGCGAGGTGACCCACGACGTGTTGTCTGAATGGGTTCCATCTCCGTAGATAGTATGTGAGGATTCACACAAGGGGCTTGATTGAGAGATTAAATGGAGGTTCCTGTAGAAGCCATGATCAGCGTATTTGTCCTCTGTATAATGACAGTGCATCTGGATTATCACGACAGAAATCCAGCAGGTTGAGTGATTGCCACTAACAACATCTTTCTGTTGCATTCTATGCGACACAAACGAGCGCTAGGGATCTTCGAGAATGCACATATGATGAGCCAATACATTAAATTACGTAGAGGCAAGAGTTCCCTGGTGTCGTTAGCCATCCGACCGGAAAGGACGCGGTGCGTGATTTAGCGATTGGCATTGGTACTCAGAGTCAATGCAATCGTATTCCACAAAGTTGATTAGCTCCGCGGAACATACTGACGTACTATCCCCGCACTCGTCAATGGGCTGCTACATTTCATGGTTGGGGTAGTCGAGTGCCTGTCTTGCGTTCTGATATGTAAGGCGAAATTTGCGGTGAAGACGGGTATAGGATGTATACCAACACGTTAAAGCGATTCGAGTCGCTGACTAGCAAGGGATGATCCAGGAATGTCCGCCTTGCCTGATGTAAATATTCTCAAAGTGCTCTTCCATTATGTGATCGCGAGTGTAGACCAGTCTAGGAAAGGGAATCACCGGCGAGATGTATGATAACATTTGCAAGGAGTGATATTTAAACGACTTAGGTTTCTCTTCCCTATATGGAGATTTGTTTGGTCTGCCTGCAGCCTTCCCTTGCTTCCCATCAAGACAGAACCCGGCTGTCAGGGGGTAAGGGGAAAATGTCAGTCTACATGACGCGAATCAGGTGGAATAATCTTCCGGGTAATTGATATGCTCAGACCTAACCCCTTGAAACGCAGTGCACCTCGTTACTCACACATATGCAGTGATCGACGCCATGGTGATGAGTGGCTGCGACACTCAGGCTCGATCTAAGTTTCTCTCGCTCTAAATTCGAGCATGTTCAATCTTCTCAATACAGTTCTTCTAATCCTTGTTTAATGACCATCCGCAGTTAAATCTGCGAGCAGAACAAAAGCAGAATGAGCCTGTTCCCAACAATCAGCAGCGGATTTTCCAAGAGACGATATGAAGCTTTACCTCACGAGGTAGATAAGACTGTAGGCGACAAGCATTTGTCTACAGCCTGCCAGTGCCAGAGCGGAAACAGAAGAAGGCCACCAGAGCTGAATATCTGCCTGATATGCACTGTATTCTTTACCACTGTCATCCTTTTCCTACTTCTCGCCGTGTCATTTGACACGTACTTGCACTCGGAGAAGAACGCAGCTCTGCGTGGAAGTCTTTACTGGTGTATGCTTGAATGTATATCTAAAGTGTCATCTTGAACTGACTTTTGATAGCACCAATTCTTGATGATGTGGAGCTACCCCAGCGCATAGCGACGATGAACAGCACTCTCTTACCGCCACCAGATCCGTCCATCGCCCGTCAAGAACCAGGACCAGAGAACGATGCCGAGTGGTACAAGTACAATGACACACCACTGTTCTGGCTCACTCGGGAGGAGATTGAAAAGCTCGGCCAGAACCCTGGTACGGCTGCAAGATGGGACCGTGAGTATTGGGGACACGAGGAAGACCTCTTTGTGGGAAAGTTAGATATATCACACGTATGTTCTGTCGCTCAGCTAATTCCATCAGAAACGTGTGTTGATCACCAGAGTGACAGCAAATACACTGCTTGGATAGCCTCCGAAAAAAGGCCTATGCTGATTATCCGGGCTATCATCCCGAACACCATCACAGCAAGCGGAAGGGGAGTAGTAACAATATGGACTGGATCCATCTAGGCCACTGTCTAGATATGCTTTGCAGTTCGTCCTTTGCAAAGCGGATACTGGTATTGTTACCTTCACCTATGTTGAAGGACAAGAGGCGCCTTGGCCCGACTTCCATCTCAAGCGCCAATGTGGGAATATTGACCCCATGCTCGAGTGGGCAAAAGGTCGAGAAGTCGGAGATTGGCATATTGCGCCCCGGCCAAAGGATGCATACCTCTGGCCTAATCCATTTGTAGGAGAGCCAGACTTTGAAATAGGGTATCCTCTAGGGCATCATCACCAAGGGGAGGGCAACCCTCGTCCGAATCCGTCTTCAAATTCATGAATGTCCTGGTAGTAAATGTCGGAGATGATGTATGGCGGAGACCAGTTTTCGTGTTTGCGGTGTGGTGCGTGTATCTACCAATATTGCTATTCCACTGTGTGATTACCTAGGGGGATTCAGTTTATCAACAGCGGAAGTAATCAATGATGAACTGATCAAACTGTTGTTGGTCCTGCCAGAAATGCTCCCTTGTGAGTTTGCAATGTTTGCTTAGTTTGATCAAGTCATCCGTCTCAGTATTAGTCAGCAATGGCCTTTCCCACATGACCAGTCACCGTTGGGTCTGATATCAAATGACCTTCTTTATTTGAAAAGATACTCTAAACTAATATATATTCTTCATTACTAGGAGTAGCGTTGCTAATCGAAGATCAAAAGTGTAGTGAATGACTTATTCCATCACAGCTACATCTTCAAGGTGTCTCGACATGTTTTAAATATATTCAAGCCATCTGGCAACGGTGCGGAACTGTTTAATATGTCATGATCTAGTCCGACCTATCCGAAGAGCCGAATTTATACCAGAAGTCCTATGTTTTGTTGGTGCCTTATATGTAACAGCACTGAGTATCAGAAACTTCTCAATCTGAATAAACTGTGTTTCTGTCCCTGGTCTGACACCCCTGTACTACCAGTTCCTGAACCAAAGATGTGTGGATGCGCGGCACAGCTCGAGTCCATCGCAGCGTCGAAATAGACCAACCCTCATGCTCGAGAAAAACCCCTCACCTTCCAGCCACAACTCTAACAAAAGTAAAATACATCCAGGACTGAGCGTACATGCAACCGTCTCGGAGTGTATTCGCCACGCAGGCCTGCGATACATGCTGAAAACGACGAGTAAATCGTCATTTGGTTCACACTATCTGGGATCGGCGTAGAGAAATGCATGTTCGACAGACAACATTTACTTCTCCGGTGGAGAAAGTTGCTCCTTATCTCCCAGGTACTTCTCCCGAAGTGATTCAATGGCGAGCACACCTAGCTGCTGAACGGAACCCAGCGAGGTGATTTGCAGCACACTGATCTCGAGCCCGAGGTTTTGCCGCCACCATCTGCGGATCTCGACACTGACCAGAGAATCAAGACCCAGGGCAGTCAACGAGGAGGTGACATCCATATCTTCTGTACGCAGGGACATGATCGAGCAAAGCATATTCACAATCTCACTGGTAACAATATCAAGGCTTGAGTCTTCGCTCAACACGTCAGGATTCGCAGCCACCCTGTGGAGGAACTGTTTTAGTGGACTGTCGCCTGAGACTAGGGCGTTGCTGCGAGACGTGCTAAGATTCCGGTGTACGCTCATCCGGACGTCGTCCTTGGCAAGGCCATTGAGTCCCCTCGTTTTGGATATGGAGCCAACGAGGAGGTCGGCGATCCCACCGGAGCATTTGGCTCCTGCGGCCTTTGCGGCACGCTGCTGACTTAGAACCACCCGGATAGATTGCAGGACCTCGCTCTCCGAGAGTAAGAGGTTCACAACCTTTAACTTCTGGAAAGTTGCGGCGTCTTCGCTGACGAAGCCCACTTCACCCATGACGCCAACGTCGATGACATTTGCCGGCAGCCCTAGTGCTCGGCGATGACGTGTGAGGGCATCTTGGAATGTGCCCCCGGCAGCGTAGTTGGTCTGCCCCCAGTTCCCTTGATGGCCCACAATCGAACTGATGAGGAGGAAGAAATCCAGGTCTACGTTGTGATCGAAGACTTGGTGCAGATTCCACGCTCCCTGAACTTTGGGTGCGGTCGCTCCCTCCCAGTCCTCTAATGTCATGTCACCTAGAGGCCGATCCTGGGAGTATTCATTCGTCAGTGACTGGTTTAAGGGAAGAAAATGATTACAAAATGCCTTACCCGTAACACCATTGGCATGTGTAGCACACCAGCGATTGGTCGAGGGCTAAGGTCCACTGCCAGCCTGACGTCCTCGATGTTCGTGACAGTTCCTGTAACCAGCGTGGTCATACCGCCCAAAAATTGCAGTTCGCGGAATACCTCCTGCGTCCGGGGCTTGATGTGCGCAGTTGGAGACAAATACACCAGATGCCGGGCCCCATTCTCTATCATCCAGGCCGAGACAGCTCGACCCAGACCACCAAGGCCACCCACTAGAAGGTAGGCCTTGTCGCTGGAAAATAGTGGTGGGATTTCCAGAGCGACGTTCGTGGTTAATCGCTCCGGGTCTTCTGGCATTCTCACTACGATCTTCCCAATGTGCTGCCCACCTTGCATGTATCTGAATGCCTTTGTCACATCGACTGCATCGAAAACGTGATTGGGGTAGATCGGCTTCAGATGACCCTCTTGGAGAAGGTCTACGCATTGTTGTAGATAACTGTGTTGTAGAATGGTTAGCAAATTGCAGGGCATCTGCGCGGGATATCCACTTACCGTTGGATCACCTGGGGCTTTTTGTCGATCAACACGGACAGATCGACACCGGAGAAAGTTCGGTTGTCTGCAAACTCGTTCATGCTGAGCATTCCGTAGTCGAGAAAGTCGCGCTTCCCTAGCTCTACCATTGTCCCGAAGCTGGCAACGCACCGCCAGGACGCGTGGAGCAACTCTCCAGACAGCGAATTTAGAACCACGTCCACGCCTCTGCCCTCGGTATCGTGCAGGACCTTATCTGCAAAGCTGGAGTCTCGTGAATTGTATATTCGGGATCGGGGGATCCCAAAGTTTTCTGTAAGAAATAGGACTTTATCCACGCTCCCAACTGTGGCATAGACCTATATCCCGTCAGCTTCAAAGATCCAATTATATGGCCCTGCTGCCCCGGTATGCTTGACCAACCTCGGCGCCTATCATTTGACTGAGCTGGATAGCGGCTTGGCCAACGCCCCCGCAGGCAGAATGGATGAGAATAGTCTGAGAGCAATTGTTAGTTCGAGGAAATCAACAAAAATGACTACTTCGGGAAACGACATACATCTCCCGCTTGCAACTTCGCAAGCTCAATGAGAGAATGGATCGCAATGCGAACACAGAGACTCTCTGTCGTAATCACACTGCTAGAGAAACATCCCCTTGAAGCCCCGGTCATCACTCGATCACCTTCCTGGAGTCGGGCCACACCAGCTCCGGTCCTGGTCACCGTTCCTGACCCTTCTAGTCCCAGTGCTGTCTTGGACCCACCGATCACGCCCATTGCAATGAGTACGTCCTAGTGCCAGAATAAATAGTCAGCAGCTGGCAATTTACAGGCAATTGAATTCACCAAGGAAACAGTCGCGGGTAAGTTTTACACACCTTGAAGTTAAGCCCAATAGCCTCCAACTGAATCTCTATCTCATAATCATCCAAATCCCTTGGGCGCGTCTGCACCCATGACAGCGAATCCAGCGATCCTTTCTTGTCAATACATAACTTTCTTCCAGTGCCCTCTTCCGGATCATCCACGTGCTCGCTTGGGGAACATGGAAAATATCTAGGAACATGCGTTATGCCGTTGACGATTGCATATTCCGGGTCAATGTCTGCTTTGTCTCGCCTCTTCTGGGCGCGGAAGTTTGCGATAATCTTCTCCAGACTCTCTGTCGCCTCTTGAGAAGAAAACTCGTCGACTTCTACCGTCACAAAATCGACAGATAACTCGAACCGAACATTCCGCGCAACTCCCAACACTAATGAATAGCGCGGATCGTCGCAGTGGATTTGGCAGTTTTTCGTTATCCAGATCATGCTCCCAAACTCTGTGGAGGTAATATAAGCAACGAAGGCGTTCCAATCTTCGCGAGCAATTTCGTGGAAAAAGGGCCCTTCTAGATCCAATAACGAAACTACAATTTGTTCCGCTGGCAAATCCTTTCCCAACTTTTGCCATGACACGCTGTAACCTTTCTTGATCAAGGTTCGTTCGATATTGCTTGCTGCGACGTTGATTTTGGATCGGTATAGAAGAGTGACCGGGGTGGATATAACATTGCATTTATCTGCCGCCGGAGATGAAATCATGTAAGCATTGACATGGTAGGGCTGATCGTCGTCGAAGATAGCAGAGTCGACACCCGTAAATCCGGCCTTCCGTAGTTCATCGTCCCATCGCTGGACGGAAACATAAGGCCTAGATTGGCGTCCGTCCTCGCTTCCCAGCCACCATCCGGGAAGTGTGCCCTAACATTCGGTGTTAGTACAAGCAAAGTTAGAGTAGATAAAACAATCCTTTCCAACTCACCATGATGAAGCCTATAAAAAGCATCTCTGGCATCGTGTGAGCTCCTCTTCAATAGGAACGGTAGAACAAAGCTCACCTGTGCAAAGCTCTTGGAGGAAGAGTTTACCGCCGGGAGCAAGCAGCCGTCGAACATTACGAAGCGTGGCATGGAGCGAGGGGGTTGCATGTAGGACCTGCATTGAAGTGAGCCGATGAAAAATAATTTAAAAAGGGAAACCCTAGGTAAAACGTGGGTCTCACATTGTCTGCGATGATTAAGTCAAAGCTGTGAGGTGAAAAGCCCTGCTCCTCGATGTCCCTGGTAATATCGAGAACACGAAAGTCAATCTGCTCATACCCCTGGAATTGTTCCTTTGCCGTAGCAAAGAATCCAGGGGAAATGTCTGTAAACGTATACTGTGAGTACATTCGCACCGCGTTATCAGTAACAAGAGACTTGAGGGCTCTCGCCGTTGTGCTGCCAGTGCCTGCGCCAATCTCAAGGACTTTGATTGTAGGTCTGGTATGGCCCATGGTTGCGAAGAACGAGCCTGTCTGATTCTTCGCAGTGTATATGTTTGACAGCACATTATTCTTCGTCAGGAGCTCCAGTGGTTGAACTTCGCCTTTAGCCAGACCTTCAATATTCTGCAATATAGATTCGATAGCTATACCCAGAGGCGCTGATAGCACCTTATCCAAGGCTTCCACAGATATTGCCTTGATGAGTGAATGGCGTTGTTGCGGATCCAATGTGGACCATCCACGGGCCTCAGGGACGATGTGGTCGTACTCGCCGTTGGCAATGCGGATCGATTCCGCCTCCAGCCAGTTTCTATACTGAGCGAAGTGCTCGACCTCCATGACTGTGGACCGGAGCCTGTCGCAAGCTTCATGGATGCAAAGCACAGTAAGTTGTTCTAGCAAAACGACAGTTCTTTTGATAGACTTCACCTCGAAAAGGTCCTGATGCTGCACCAGATCAATGTGAGGAGCCCACCTCATCTGCGTCGCCGCAAGATCATCAACTTTCTCCTGCACGTCCAGACTACTGAAAGTGCAGCTCGCCATCTGGAGAGCAGGTTGTCCATTTGAGAATGCCAATATGCGACCGTCAAGTACGTCGTCATCTTCTGCACCAACTGATACTTGAACTTGAATACAGAAAGCCTGGCTCGCCGGTGCGATCTGAAGCTCCTTGATTGTCTTTGGTACCACTGGCCGCTCAATCTTGCGTGACTTGCCGCCACACTTGGCCAAGATCATTAGCTGCAGACACTGGTCGATCATAGTGGGATGGATGTGGTAGAATGACTCGCTATGCTGAAAGTTTCCATTTACCGTTGCTATTGCTTTACCTCCTGTCGGATCCACAGTAATGTCTTCTAAGCCCTGAAAGGTTGGGCCGTATGTCAAGCCGAGCGCGGAAAGGGCGCGGTACCAGATGCTCGAGTTAACCGTTCGAGGTAGAGCATCCATAAGATCACAGTCGGTGTTTTGTGTCCATCGGCCAGCCCTGACGAACCCAGTACAATGTTTCGTCCAGTATTCATTGACAAATGAGGATATTGTGAACTCAAAAGCCGCCGAGTCTGACACGCTCGTGATCCTTCCTGGTCTTATATTTGTTATAATCTCCACCGGCGTCCCTGGATGAAGTAACAAAGCATTATTCATATGCAGCCGATGAATTGTATATTCAGGGATACCAGTGATCCTTCGAATAGCTTCTCCCACCATAGCGATATATCCGGCACCTGGGAAGACAATATCACCACCAGGTTGGTGGTCCTCCAGCCACGGTACATCCTCCAGTTGAAGAATGTTTCTCCATGCAGGCTCCAGATCACTGGCCTCGAGCAGCGGTGACCCCAGAAGCTCATGATTGGGGAAGGTCCGGAATCTCCACCTCTTCGTGACTCTGCTTTCTTCCCAGTATGCGGTGCGTTCCTTCCAGGAGTAAAGGGGAAGGTCAGTGAGAACTGTCTCGTCCCTAGTCCCGTTGACAAGGCCGAGGTTGACGTTCACTCCAAGGGTAAAAATATGGCCCGCAGTAGCCATCATACTGCTAACCAAGCTCTTTCCTCTGACAAGTGTGGGAATGTACGTAACATTAGACTGGGGTCCGTTAGATGAATAAATCTGCCGGAGGGGGCCAGCAAGTGTTGAGTGCGGCCCGATCTCGACGAAGACGGCACCTTCTTCAACTTTTAGTAAGGACTGAACCACAGAGCAGAAGCGCACAGGATATTCTAGGTTCCTCTGCCAGTACGCGGCGTCCAATTGAGGCAGACCTGATTGAAAATCTACGCTCACTGTGGAATATGGAAGGGGTGGATGAGTTCCAACATGTTTTTCGAGAATGGTTCTGTATGCCTCTCCGATAGCTTTCATGTGATCTGTAGACCCCAATTATCAGTATAGTTGGTAAATACGTACAAAGTAGGTATGGAACTTACGGGAGTGGTACGCAATATTGACCTGTAGACGCCTATAGAAGGCTTCCGGCCGCGCAAGATTGATCTTGTGACCCACTGCCTCTACCTTCTTTACGTCGCCGGAGATGGTCACACTGTGAGGGCTATTCTCACAGGCAATGACTGCCCCCTCCACCAGGAACTCTTCAACTTCCTGTGGGCTCAAACCGATGGCAGCCATGGCCCCTTCAATCGGGAGTGAACTGGCTAATTTCCCGCGGTAGAAAGCAATCACAATTGCTTCTTCGGCTGTCAAGCTTCCATCGCATAAGCTGCAGCTATTTCTCCACTGGAATGGCCCACTACCGTAGCTGGCTTAATGTTCCACGCAGCCAATAAGTCCACAAGTGCAATTTGGAGTGCAGTGCACATAGGCTGTACAAATTCTGCTTTGTTGGTCCAGAATGCGAAAGCTGCATCTTCAAGAGAGTCTAAATCGATACTGGTTAGCATAGGCTGTTGCAGCGAAGCAACAAGATATATCCTTTATACCTAAGATTGTCCACGATGGAGAATCCTCGAGGGCCCTCAAGGCCATATCCATTTTTTCTATGCTGCTGCAAAAGGAAGGAAAGGCCCGCAGAAGCTCGGAAGCCATACCCGCCCATTGCGCACCTTGTCCGTTGAAGACAAAGGCCAGGGGTTGGTTCTTCGTCGGGGTTCTGCGCGTATCCGACACGGCAGGTTGACCATAATCGTCACTTATGACAAAGCCTCGACAGACCATGTGATCTCGACGTTGACCGAGTGTATATGCGACATCAATTATGGGCACTCGTCTGTTCGCCAGGTATTCCTTCGTTGCGTGAAGCCGGTCTGCAAGTGATTCCATACTGTCGGCAGAAACAACATGAAGATAAGACCGCCTTTTGCCGTTTTTATTCCTCTTCAAACCTCGGGCGTTGGACGGGGCTGATTCGACAATAGTCTACAAGAATTAGAGCATTTTTCGCGAATATCTGAGCTTACTGGACGGTGTCTTACGTGTGAGTTCACGCCTCCAATACCGAAGGAGTTGACACTGACCCTTTCCATGCGGTTCACTGGCCAGGGCAGCGTCTCTGTGGGTACTTTGAGTCGGGCTTCCTCAAATGGTACTGGAAGGCACACAGAAAACTATCAGTAACTGAGAGTAAAATAACGGGAACTGAAGGTTTTGTCATACTGCCTGGATTAGGTGTGGAGAAATGAATGTTTGGCGGGATCTGTTTGTGCTCGAGAGCAAGCACAGCTTCGATCAAACCGGTAAGCCCTGAAGCACCCTCTGAATGACCCAAATTTGGTTTTACCTACAAAACAACGCTGTCAGTTGCAAACGTTAAGGCTGTTTAACAGAGGACCAATATTACCGCTCCCATAACGATACCCTTTTTTCCAAACATTTTGGCAATCCCCGCAGCCTCGGTTCGGTCTCCAACTGTTGTTCCTGTGCCATGAGCCTCGATATATACCGTCTGTGAAAGATCCGAGATCCCTGCCTGCTCGTAGGTCTTCTGAATGAGTGCTGCCTGGGCTTCAGCACTGGGTGTGGATAGTCCTGCGGTTTTCCCATCACTGTTCGTACCCGTCCCCCGGATCACTCCCCGGATGGGATCATTGTCGCGAATGGCATCCTCAAGCTTCTTTACGTAGATAGCGTTGATTGCCTCCCCGCGAGCGTATCCATTTGCAGAAGCGTCGAACGTTTTACATTTTCCGTCTGGAGACAGTGCGTCTTCCTCGGTCATGGCAATTGTATAAGTTGGCGTAAGAAGGAGGCTAGTACCTGCCACGATCGCGGAGGAGCACTCCCCTGTTGCAATGGCACGTTGAGCCATGTCGAGACCGACAAGAGATGAGGAGCAAGCTGTTCGAACTGTGCAGCTTTTGTGGTTATATACGTCAGCATCATAGCCTCTTTGACGGAGCGGGCAGGATGCAACTGTGTGCGACTTACCTGGGCCCCGTGAGATCGTAATGGTATGAAACTCGATTGGCAAGAGCAAAATCCCCCGTGCCGCCAACCCGACCCTGACCCAAATTCTGATAGTCCTTGCGGGTCATATCTAGCCAGTCTTCCCCAAAGACCCCGACAAAACACCCAATATCCCTTCCCTGCCATGCGACCTGACCTCCGCTCTCCATACATTCCCAGACCACCTTCAATAGGAGACGTTGCTGTGGGTCCATCCTGGCAAGCTCGACAGGGGAGATATTGAAAAACTCCGCGTCGAATTTGCTGATATCTTCATCCAGGCAATAAGCATACTTGCAACGCACGGATCCCCTTTGGCCCGACTCGCTATAGAACCCATTGATGTTGTACCGATCTGGCGGCAGTTCCCTTCGAGCGCACCGTTTGTTGACGAGAAGATCCCAGAATTCGGAGTCGGTTTTGACTCCACCGGGAAGCCTCAGCCCCACCCCTACAATGGCTAACGGGCAGGATGTGGCCGTTTCGGTCGATTTAAGGCTGCTCAGTTTTGTCCGGAGGAATTGAAAAACCGCAAAGATGTGAGAAATGACTCTCACAAGGAAATACATGATGCAAGGTGATGGGATCACTCGTAGGGTAACAGCCGTTCATGTTTCTCTTTTCAATGACGCTGTACTTCTTTGTTTATATAACCAGTCAAGGACTATCACCAACTATGAAAGCCTAGTCTATCAGAAAAGCAACTCTCTCAGGGGTTTACTGTAACAGCAACGCCCACCTATGCTGGACTGTATGTGGTTGATCTTACAGCACAATGATTCACCTGTTAAAGTCACCCTTGCGGAAGAGGTCAAAGCCCGCCGATCAACTCATGGTCCAACACATCTAAATGCACGTACAGCCCAGACTAACATCACAACGAAAGGCTAAAGATGAATGTAGCAACTTGTTCATTCGAGCAGAATAGATGTTGTACAACCCCAGAAACCAGTATGTGAAGAGCCAGGAGAGGCCATGATTGTGTCCAGACTACAGCAAGGGATGCCGCCCCCCCTTCCCCACCCAGTTGCAACACCTGGTCCTATATATGTTACGCAGTCTGTTGCATGGTATAGATCGGAGTACCCTTACGAGAGACCCATGCAAGATAGTGAGGCTTCAGCTACAAGCCATGGTACGATCAGTGGGGTTATATTCTACTATTTACCCTGACCTTAAAAGGAGGAAAATGCATGCATTATGGGGTAAGCAGAAAGTCGGTCCTTGTCCTGTTTTGGCATATTTCCTTGCTGGAGCTCCTGCAGCCACCGGATACGTGGTCCCATTTGATCAACTGCACTCATGCGCGGGTGCGCGAATGCAGAAGTTGTGTAGATCGCCAAGATCACAGTTCATTGAATTTTAACACCGGAATAATTGTCTACACTACAGCCATAGTATCGGAACTGTAGTCACTATATCGGACGGGTGATATATTCATTCTACTATGCATCGGACGGTCTCCACTGGCTCGAATACTTGTTCTTCTTTTGTCGTAGCACAGTCTCTGCAGTGTCTGCACTGATGCTTAGGTATGTGGCGGTGAAGTGTTGAATTGTTGCTAAATTTCTAGTCTGCATGGTGCTTGCCCGGAGAGGTGATATGAGGGAGATGACCACCCCTTGAAATGATACCAGCCACTCTGTGGGCGTAATAACCCATCTCCGTACTGCTTGAGTGTTGAGCTTTTCACGCCCGATTGCAGAACGTGCCACGTCGTCATATCCTGCATAACATACATATGCATATGCGGAGCGTGGACAGACATTGTCCAGGCCGAGCTCAGAGTACTACATATTCAATTGACGTAGGGATAGGATTCGATCTACCGAGATAAACTACCACAATATTCAAACTTGCTCCAGATAGAAGAGCACTCATGTAATATCGACTGTTGACTCTATATTGAGGCACCACGCCTTCTCAATTGGAACTTGTCCATACGAATGGATGACACCTAGGGAAGAACAAGGCGATATGATTTGCATTTGCTTCAATGGCGTCACTAGGAGGAGGGTGTGTCTCGACCAGAAGATACTGAACGAAAGCTAGTCCGTAACTTCGCTCCCCCATGCGATATCATGCGGGACTATCGGTCCGCTCTTATTGCCCGGATTCTCTGGGTCAAAGTCCATGCGATCGGGGATTCTCAAACCAGCTGGTAAATGGTATCGAACAAACCAGACAGAGACACCATCCTTGTACAGCCATGGGTCCTCCGTTTGGCGTTGCCACGTTTCCAGTCGCGACCGGAGGTCGTCAAGAACGGCTGTGTACGCTGGATCCTTCACAAGATTGTGAACCTCTCTTGGGTCCGCCTCCAAGTCGTAAAGTTCCTCTGGGGGGCGGAAAAAGTAATCTCTCAGCTTTCGTCCGCCGACCATGATGTCTGTATCGCTAGAATTGCGGATATCCTCCCAAGAGAGGGATCCATACAGGTCAGCTGCGAAAGGGAAATCCAACCGCCAGGCCAAATTGCGGTGGTATTTGTACCGACGATCGCGAATGAAACGTGTGGGCCAGTAGTTTGTTACTTCATGGAATGTGTGCGAGCCAAAGGTCTGGTTGAAATCTGGCAACTCGTTGGAAGTTCCAACAATCGGTAGAAGGGATCGGCCCAGTCGCTTTTTCTCCGGATCGGTGACCTCGGGGTGATCGACGAAGTCAAGAATAGTAGGGAGAATGTCAACGTAGGAGATCATGTTTGGGCTAACTGCAGGAGGTGTGTTTGGTTTTCTAATAATCAAAGGAAGTCGTACACCCGCATCATAGAGTGTTGTTTTGGAGTTGATGAAAGGCGGGCCGTTATCGCTAACGAAGATGACGAGGGTCGAGTCTTCTAGGCCAGTCTCCTTCAGAGCATCTAGCACAAACCCGACACCTTGATCAAGACGATGAATGGATTTGTAGTATTCGACCAGTTCGGAGCGAGTACCGGGGGTATCATTGACGAATGAGGGAATTGGAACATCTTCGGGTTCCAGATGAAGTTTGGTGATTCGAGGATCATAGTCATCCGTGTTCCCAAAACCACCACGAGTTCGGTCGCGATGAGGATCGTGGTACCCGATAGTCAACGCAAACGGTCTGTTACTGGATTTTGCTTCCTCGAAAAACGATCTGGCCTGGTCGGCAATAACAGCAACATCGCGGGTATCGCTCTCCTTGCGCAGCTGCCAGGGGTAAACAGCAGATGGTCCTACATGAACCTTTCCCAAAATACCAGTCCAGTGGCCGGCTTCATTCAAGAGATGCGGTAAACTCTTCACGTGGTCAAATGTCACGAAATGATGACGGTGGCTCGCAAGCCCATATTGTCCATTCTGGTGGGTGTGAAGACCGGTGTAGATGACAGAGCGACTACCGCTGCAGGATGCCGTACTTGCAAATGCATAGTCGAATCTAGTTCCCTGCTCTGCGAGCCGATCGAGGTTTGGCGTTTGGGATGTATTGTCCCCGTAGCAGCTGAGTTGTTTCCCCAGATCATCTGCGATCAACAACAGAACGTTCTTCTTACTCGCCATGGTTGTGAATGAAGCAAAGTAGATCAAGACTGCGCCAAAGTCTCTGTACCTTGTGGATAAAAAAGGTAAGAAATGCAAAGTCCCAAAGGAAGAAAGAGTTCTGTGGGATGCTGTCCAAGACCCCTGTTGAACTCCGCTTAGGACCACTTACCCTCGCATGGGCGGATAAGGAAATACCTCACAAGCAGGAGCTAGCACTAAGATAACTAGTGCAAATTCCACCTATAGGAAAAGCTCCAAGGCTTGGACTTCGGGTAATTGGAGGTTCGGTTTAACCCGCTGCATCAACGCAATTCCGTCAGCCGATGATGTGCTTCCCGGGCATACAAACACCACAACGCCCTTATCAGGACCACACTTCTTCTATCATGATCTCGTAAGTGAACATATCAATATAAATTAATCACGCCATATACTAGACACCGTCAATATATTGCTTTCATGTTGCAATGCGCCCTTAAATTAGGAATTCCTGAAGAAAAGCTGAAGTTGGAGGCATGTGCCTGACAGGGTCCACTTCTGGTATACTCTGTGCTATGGTAGCTTGTGTCGTCGGAGAAAGCAAGTATCACGTAGTACCTGGACGCATGCATGATGCTACGCATAGCAATAACCAAGAATATATAAATAATATAGTGGAATTTTCGCAGCCTCTCTTGAGGAATGCTTCTCCCGTCCACAATATATTTCTTCCCACACATGATAGAAAACCGCGTGAACATTACAACTAAAAGTTCTCAATGCGTTTACCCTCCTTAATTCCCCTCTCCCTGCTAGCTGGCCTCACGGCTGGTCAGCTCATTGGCCCGGTCGGTCCAACAACCAATCTTGAAGACAAGACCATTGAGTGCAACATCCTAGATTATGGTGGTGTTGCCGATAATCAGACCGATGTTGCAGCATCCATTGAAGCCACTTTCGGCGAATGTGTGCTGAACAACCCCAAAAGTCGTCTTGTTATCCCCGAAGGCAACTATCTGATTAAGCGAAGTGTTGTTTTGAGTAATGGAACCAATTGGGCATTCCAGCTTGACGGTCTGATCACCGCGGCATATGGTGGAAACTGGACAGCCGACCGTGAGTTGATACTCCAAGGGTTTGCTGGAGAGCAAATAATAAACTCTACCATCAACGGCGAGGGTGACGGGAAATTCTTACTAGATGTGCTTGTCATTGTAAACGGTATGATTTACTCTCCGTTTCTTGTTAAGACATTATTCAGGCTTATTCCCCTTCAACATGTGTAGCTGTCGATTTCGAGTTTTATTCGTCCAACGGGCTTGGCGCATTTCAAGGACAAGGATATATCTATCGAAACTTGGACAAGTGAGTTATAAGAGATTCTGTTCCTCAACACAGCTGATGGGCTTTCAAAGTACCGACCGCCCTCGACTTGTGAGGCTTATTTCGCCCACGAATGCCTCTGTGCATGATTTGATCCTCGTGGATAGTCCCAAATTCCACATCGTGTTTGATTTCGCTGTGAACTTGGAGGCATACCACCTTACCATCCGCGGTGCTAATCTAGGAAGCTATGATGGGATTGATGCCATCGGCACCAACTATTACATCCACGATAACGAGGCAAGTAGAAAGTCCATCTCTCCATGGCTTAACAGGGGCTAACAATTGGACAAATGACAGGTCACGAACCGTGACGAATGTGTCTCCGTGAAAAGTCCATCCCATCATGCTTTGGTCGAGAACCTGGTTTGCAACCAAGCAGGCTCCGGTGTTTCAATTGGCAGTCTCAACGTATCTGCGGAAATATCCAACATTGTGGGTCTCATCAGTTGTTCGTTGGTAACACGTCTTGGTAGTTAATAATGTGAAACAGGAAGCTCGCAATATCAGCATTATCCAGGGCAACAACATCGCATTCATCAAGACGTATCCTGGAGGATCTGGTTACGTTAGAGATGTCACATTTGAAAACTTCCGGTCCCTGAACAGCCTGTACGGATTGGACATTAACCAATACTGGCAAAACACTTGGGAACCTGACACCGGTTCCGTGACATTGAGCAACCTTGTTTTCAAGAATT